GGGGCGGGGGCGTGCGCGGGGGCGTAGCGGCCTCTGCACTTTGTCCGTTCCATTAGCGATGCCGCTAAAACACGGTCAACACGGCGGTCGCCCCGACCGCACTAGTACTGTGTATTTCTGCGCGCCCGACCCAAACTCACTCGCCGCGCCGACCCCAGCCCAACACGCCCCCCTGACCAAGCATGACCAGGCGGCCCCCACATCCAGAACAACCCCCGACCGGCCTCTCCTTTCCCAACTTACCTTCTCGAATCGACATTTTGATATTAAGATGCGAGAAGCTTCGGTTTCGGGCTCACGGCTGTACGGTGCTTTAGACTCCGGGTCTGTATCTCCCCATTGCCCCGCCAAGGCGTTTCGACTGGTGTTCCGAGGCGTGGTCGGGCGGGGCGGGTGTTCCCTCCTGCTGTGATTGGCAGCCCGGCGCGGGAGCTTGCTCAAAGCGGAGACCCCCCTTCTAAACCCCCAAGCAGCCCCGGGCCGCCCCGGGCCGCTCCGCTCGGCTGCTCCGCGCAGCACGCGCTCAATATTTGCCCTGTTGGAGTCAGTGATGGTTCATTGAGCTTGGCCCTCCCCGGCGCGGGGCCCCGCAGCGCGCCACCGCCACCGGCTCGGCACACCGCGCCAGCACCGCGCCAGCACCGCGCCAGCCCGCTGGTGGAAGGGGATGCGGGGGCTGCCGCTGTCGCCACCCTGGCCGCCCCGCCGCGCCCCGCCTCCACGCAGACGCCGCAGCCCCGCTCTCTGTACTGCTCCCTGCTCCTCTCCTCCTCTTTCCTCTTTAGCGTCTTCCGACAAACAAACGACTCAGATTTAATTTAATGAAACCCAACCTCGTCAGTGCCGCCCGCGCGCCCCCTTCCTCCAGCCGGCACGCCTCCGCTCCTGTGAACACCGCCCCGGGCCGCCCGACCCGCGCGCTGTTGGTGTTGGTGCAGTGTCGTTCCTTCTGCTTATCTGGCGCGCTTACCCGCCACCGGGGGCGTACTGGTCCCGCATTCCCAAGCATCCC